GTGTCGCCGTGTCTAATTTCTGTCATTGCACCACGGAGGGGGACACTCAGGAGAAAACCGGAGTCCCATAGTGACCTTGGAGGCAGGGCCCTGGCGCGGCCCCATCCGTCCCATCTCCCAGGGGGTCAGGCCGCTGTGCTGCCCTGACGGGGCCTCGCTTTCGGCTCCCAGTCGTGACCAGGACGGGCCCCGGGACCCTCGCACAGGAGGGGAGGCGGGCTGCCTCCGCCCCGCATGCCTGCCTGGCACCCTGGGCTCCTCTGGATGGCACCACTAGCCGGTGTCATGTGGCTTTTTGTGGGAGCCCGGCCTCTCTCCCCAGCCCTGACTCCTTCCTTTGTACTGAACCCAGCCTGGGGACCCCCAGCCCCACCCCAGCCCCTCCATTCCGGCCACTGTCCACCTCTGAAATGTCCAGTGAAACCCTAATGGCAGGCTTGGATTCCGACTCACGCTTCACCACGGATTCTGTCCTTAAATGTCATTTTACTGGACTCTTCTGCTGTTGGGTCCAGGGGCCGGATTCCCCAGCAGTGATGCAGTGCCACTGTGCTGCCTGCAGAGGGCAGCAGTGGGAAGCTGTTATCCCTCCGTGCCGGCCATAGAGATGCTGCAGCCTCATTTTATTTGAACCATTTTCCTTCCACGTTATTAATTAGTCAGTGAGCACCAGTGTATTAATGTGTTTTAAAAAACACTTAGCCTTCTGCGTGCCAGGCTGTGTGGTGTCAGCGTCTCAAGTCCCAAGTCGGCAAAGCGTTTGTCACTCCCCCCTGGACGCTCCTGCGCCTCCTAGGCCACTTGAGGGCAGCTCCCTCTGCCCGCCTCCAGGAAGTCCTCCAGGACTAGCACCCCCAAACCTCACTTTCCCATCTCTCGGTCTCTTTGGGCCCCCCAGGTCTGCTCCCAGCCCCTTCCCTATTTTCTTGTGGAAATCGCTCATTCGTGTGGCTTACGGTTCTGTCTCAAGGAGGACAAAGACTCGAGATATGACTTTTAAATGGCATTATCACTCACCATTAGTGTAAGCATGTGGCAGCAGCATCCAATTTTGTTGTGAATGTGCTTGGCAGTGGCTGTGTAGTCCCTCAGAGGCCCCTTAGGAAAAGCCCTGCCGGAGGTCAGTTCTGGGAGGCACGTTGTAGGTGAGTTTGTAGGAGGCAGCGTTAGAGTGAAAGTCCCCCTGGAAACAGTATTGTATCCAAACAGTGGACTAAACAGTGGCCCCTCCCTCCTGCTCCTGTCGCCTCCCCAGAAAAGGTAGAAAAATAATCGGCTTTGCATGGCCAGCTCGCAACTCGGTACACGGTAACCTGACGGATAGTGCACTGGAAACTTCCATGATGGGGTGAATGCACGCCACCCCGATACACTTAACAAAAAATAGCATTTTTAAAGCCCAAAATAACAACCCTGGACAATAGATGGCCACCGGAGGAGAGCGGAGAGGGGCAGAGCGATCTGCCAGTGTGGAGCATTGCAGAGACAGTGGGTGTGCGGGACTGTCCCCCCTGGGCCAGCAGTGTGCAGGGGGGCCCACGTCAGGTGTAAAGCAGGGAGCGGGGGCATTGTGTGTGCTGGCGGCTGGTAATGGTGGAGGTGGGGACACGTGGACAGGTTGCAGCCTCTCAAATCAGTGACAGAGCAGCCTGCTCAGGCTCAGTACCCACATGGCCATGAACTTGGTGCTGTGCACACACCCCCTCCCCGCCCGGTGCCCCTGGGCGAGGCTTCAGAGCACAGCTTGGCTGGGTCCAGTGTCTCAGGTCTCCCGGGAGAGTGGCCTCGGGGTGTCGCTGGGGCCACAGATGCCGGCCAAGGCCCGGGTTCAGGGTCCACCTCTGAGTACCCGCGGCTGTTGTCCAATTCCATTCTGTGCAGCCTGTTGGGATGGGGACCTCAGTCTCTTTGGTTGGCAGCTGGCTGGGTGGTGACTCAAGTTTGCTGCCACGTGGGACCCCACAGCACGGTCCTCACTTTGTCAGAACCAGGAAGGGAGAGAGTCCCTTAGCTGGACCTGCCCCCAGGGTCTGTGACGTGGCCACAGGAGTGACAATCTGTCACTGTCAGGACAGGTATTTGCCCAGCGTGTGAAAACCCAGAGGTGTTCCTGGGGGCCACCTGAGGCCTGTCCCTGCAGGAGGTGAGGCGTAGAGAAGAAATTAGTTTACTTTTGACAACCGGTTGGATTCAGGTCTGCGATGGACGAGGATGCAACAACTCTCGACTGCAGGTCCAGCGTCACCTGTGAGACACTCCCTTTCCTCCTGACCCTCCTTTTCCTCCCGCGCCTGCCGAGGAAGGAGACAGATTCGTGTCTCCTCCAACTCGCACTGCCCTTCAGAGATGAAGGCTCTGTCACCCGTGTCTTTGAATGACAATGACGTCCGTCCCAGGGACCCACCCACTGGAGAGGGCTGTACGGCATCAGCATGAAAGACGCCCTGGACCTTCGGGAGCACCGTGCTCTCGGGTCGTCCGTCACGGAGGCCAAAGCAGCCTTTCCTGTCCGGTGTGTCCTTCAAGGAGGGGACAGCGGGAGTGGCTGCGCTGAGGGTACTGCAGCCCTTTAGACTCCTGGGGACATCGGAGGTGGTCACCGTGGCTGTTGGCGTGGCTTTGGGGCTGCCCGGGATGGACAAGGTGTCCGGGCCTGCTGACCAGCGACCGTGGGACGCGGTGCCATTGACTCCGGCTTCTGGTCTCAGTTTCCTGATCGAATAATCTGGGCGCCCACACTGTCGATGGCGGCAGCGGTTCCGTTCACGTCTGCTCAGTGCTGGGAAGAGAGCACCGCTCGCCCTCCAGCTACGCACGTCAGCGGCGTATGAAGAACGCCCGCGGGGTGTTCAGAGGGGCACTGGGCACCGGGCACCGGGCACCGGGCACCGGGCAGGCCCTGCTCGAACACTTGCGGTCCATCATCAGGTTGGGAGTGAGGCCAGTACCGCATGACTCTCCGAGCTTGTCTGGCAGTGTCCTCTGGGGGAGGCTGAAAGCAGGCTGGAAAATAGAAGCAAAAGAAGGCATATCTGGACATGGACACGTATTTCTCACGACTCTTTCTCTCGTTTGGGGTAACCCTGCCACAGCAGCGCAGGGGTTCACCTGGGAAGATGCCCTGCAGCCACTCCCCTGTCCATGCAGGGCTGTCCTGGGAGAAGGAAGCAGCGCACAGGGGTGGTGGTCTCCGTCACCCGTGAGAGGGGCCGGGCCGCCTGGGACAGGCCCGGACACGCCGTGGGAGGGGGTCAGGCTCGCAGGGTTGGCTCGTCGCCCATCAAACACGAACTCCCTGGAACCTCAGGAAAGGAAGGCCCGAGTGAAAAATATGGATCCCCAGAGCTTCCCGTGGTGGGCGGAGGGTGGAGAGCCGCTGGCTCTTCTCTCTGTTCCAGTTTCTTCCCCGCCATCCACCTGCCTTCTGCAGCTCAGACCGGCTGCACATCACTGCCTCCTGGTGGCAGCTGAGCCAAATTACAGGTTCAGGCACCGGCCACTCTGGTCTCTGTAGGGACATTTCTCCAGGAACCAGCAGAGTCACACCTACACGAGGACGCTCACCTCTGCCCCCTCCTGCTCACAGACACCTCCTGGGGTTTTCTGGGCTTATGTAGGGTTTATATAATTTGGGCCCTTGAGGACACAGCCTCCCACCATTGTAGTTCGTTCCTTCTGGACGTAGTTCCTATCCTTCGATTCCACCAACTCCAAGGACTAGGTTTGTTGAGGGGAGGAAGCCACACCCAGGCACAGAAAACGGTCTGCCCGCAGCGCTCCGGGGCAGCCTGCGGGGCGGGGCCTTGGCCGGGAGTGTGGCCTGCACGGTTGGTTTTGCCTTCGGTCCTGGAATCGCCGGCCTTGGCAGAAGGAGCTGGTGCTCAGGAAGTTTTCTTTTCTGCTCTCGCAGAACCTGGGGCCCATTCACCCGAGGTGGCTTCCTCAGCGTGTGAGCTGGAGTGTCTTTGCTTTGTTGAGCTCAGGTCCTTTCTGTTTGACCTGTGTCATGAGAAGTGCCCACTCAGGGCCCAAGTGCACAGAGGTCCGGCTGCGAGTGGTCACAGTCACTGGCGCTTCACTGCGAATCATGGCGTCCAGGCGGTGTTACCGGGAGTCAGAAAGAAACAGGCCTGGTGGGACGCGGCTTTGCCGCGGGGCACCGCTCCGCCCAGTCACAGTGTGGCATCTCCCAGCCAGACACCTTGTCCAAGTTCACGGTGAGTTACGACCACGGATTGTATGTTCTCCAGAAAAAAACACCTGTTAACACAGAGGATGCTCGTAAATGCAGTCCATGAAAATTGCCGCTTGGATGCCATGGCCTTCTTGCTGCGTGTATCACAGTGTTCTTGCCGTCTCGGCAAAACGACTTCTGATGAGTTTGCAGAGCGATGTTTTGAAAATGGAAACAAAAGTATCACTGCGGTGAAACTCACCACGACAAGGTGAGCCATGGCAGAGTGAACGTCAGTGCCGTTCGCTCATTCACTGTGTCCCGGGGACCTGCAGCCGCTGCCTCTGGTTCCCAACAACTGAAGTGGAGGTGCCTTCGTCCAGGAGCAGCTCCGCGCCCCGCGCAGTAGGCGCGCAGTGGTTCCGATGGAGAGAGTTTCTCGAAGTGGTAGAAGAGTTTCCGCAAAGGACAGAGCCTTCTCGGGGTTTCTAATCAGGACTCCCTGAGACGCACCCAGAAGAGCAGTTAACCTGGTGGGGCGAATTCAGCGGTGTGTCCGGCACAGCCCTGGCTTTGATGACGCGCCACATTCCTTTGCAAACAGAAACGCCAACAAAAATGTGGGCAATGAGTCTGTGTGTCCTTTGTGCGCATTTTATTGGCACACGCTGGAGCTGTTTATGCAAATGAGCGGGAGGACGTCTAGACACGCATGCGCGCCCTCCGGCCCGAGGTATAAAAGGCCCTGCGCCCGGGAAGCTCTCCATTCCGCCAGGTACACCTCGACCTTTGCAGTCTCTCCAAATCCTTCCCGCCCGCTGCCACCATGACGCGTTTCTTCTGCTGCGGTAACTACTTCCCAGGCTACCCTTGCTATGGGACCAACTTCCACAGGACCTTCCGAGCCACCCCCCTGAACTGTGTTGTGCCCCTGGGCTCCCCGCTCCACGGCGGCTACGGATGCACCGGCTACGGCTCCCTGGGCTACAGCTTCGGCGGCAGCAACGCCAGCAACCTGTGCTGCGGGTACGGCGGCAGCTGCTGCAGGCCGTGGGGCTCGGGCTCGGGCTTCGGCTACAGCACCTACTGAGGGCCCCGGGGGCTCCGGGAGGTGGCGCCTCAGAGCGGCCTGAAGAGTCACAACCACCTTCCTGCCGCCTGGCGTGCTTGAGAGAGACGTCCTCCGCCTTCTGCTGACTTCTTCCGACGTCTGGGCTGCGGTGACGCGGAGCGAGCCGCCCAGGCGTCAGCCCCAGCCAGGGACGCACCTGCAGCCGAAGGAAGCGGACGCATCTCTCCAGCAGGCCGGGCCGAAGCCGGGAAGCCAGGGGTTGGCCTTTTCCGGTGGCTCTGCTCCCGTGCCATCAACTCCTGCGCCAACATCTACGCCTTTCGGATCGGGTGTGGGTAGGAAGGGGTTCTGCTGCTGGTCTCTTAATAAACCTAATTTACTGAGCACGCACGTTTTTGTTCTGGTTGCTCCTTTCACTGCGCTTTTAGGCTTTTGAACTCACCAGCCAGTTTGCGCCTGTCACGGGCGACTTCAGTGAGGACTTACTCTGGTTTCAGACCACACGTGAGGACAGGTTGCCGCCTCACCTTCGGTCCCTTTGTGTTGAGATTTCAGTGTTTAAACATTTATTGAGCCGTCCTAAATTTAACCTAAATACACGTTAAGTGGTAGCATTTCTGTATGCGGACTATGAATGGGAAGGTTTTCCAGCTGCTGAACGCTGAGAAAGTCTCCTCCTTCCCTTCGTGACAGTCCGCTCTCCCCACTCCCACTGCCTGTCTGCCGAACTCGGCCATGGATAGGTCAGAGCCCCCAGACCGCTGGGAGGACACCAGCTGCACCGACTTAGCCATGAACCTCCGTGTGCAGAGGGCTCCGAGCTCCGCTCAGTAATGAGGAGACAACAGCCAGGGTCACAGAGTGTTTCCCCCCCTTTGATAGGTGGGCTTCACGCCTCTCGCCTCTTCCTCTCTGGGCCCAGGGACAGCTGTGTTAAAGACGAATCTCGTGTCCTTCAGAACAACAGATGCCATCCAAGGCCCTCGACCTATGTAGTCTGTGCTTAGAAACCGTTCTTGTGCAGCTTACTGAGAAATCTCTGCTTCGCCAAAATGAAACGCTTCACGTTAGCATCACAGCAAATCCACGAAATGGTGGTCGCGTGTTTCGGGGGAGGGCCCCATGATTTTCATGGATTTGAGCAGTTAATTGTCTGCTTTACGGGCACAAAACACTGTACAGGCCGATGGAAGTTTCGCCCCCCACACATACGAAGTCTTCGTGGGCTCTGGCCCCTGCGTGAAGAATTTGCGGCCTGTGCAAACCTACAACAGAGGGAACTTTCCGGAACACGGGGTGAGGGGCAGAGGCGTGGCGGCTTTCCAAGCTGTGCACAGCGACACGCTCCTTCCGGTCCGCCACGCCTGCCTGCTGCCCTGGCCTGCTCGCCAGCTGTCGAACATGGGGACGGGAAGCACTTACTGTGATGTTTTGGGGTCAAACCCAGTGCCACCCAGAGGTGGTGCCGAGGGGCAGTGGGCGGGCCTTCTCTGGCAGCCCTCGTTGGAGAAGGTCCCACCTGCAGGTAGCGTGACCTGCCTGCGGGGAGACCCAGGGGCCGAGGGTCCTGAAGTGAAGCTCGGGTTCCGTGGTCACCTCGCTTCCTGTGCTAAAGTCACAGTTCTTTCGGTGGTCCATTCAAGAATCTTTTTATTTCGACTTAATTTCAAAACTACGTAAAAGTTGCTGTGATAGTACAGAGAAGTCCTGCCTGCCAATTTATTAAGTGTTTACATTTTGCCCCATTGACTCTCTTTTATATATTATGTATGCACTACTATTTATGTCTGTAGTGATATCATGTATTTACACAGTATTTACATGTGGTCAAATCCACTTCAGAATAAATTGCGGGCATTATGCCCACTTACCCTCAGAGCAAGCACAGTGTGATTAGAAAAATTAGAAACTTTAGCATGGGTATGCTACAAACTTAGTGGCTTAAAATGGCACAAATCTATCCTCCCACAGTTCTGGAGGTCAGGTGTTTAAAATCGGGGTGAGCGGCCTCCTGTGTCCCCTGCTGCCACCTGCAAAGGCAGCAGTGTACAGGGTCTTCAGATCTCCCCTGGACTCTGCCTCTGTCCCTCCTGCCTTCCCGAGTCACTTCCAGGGTCCTTTAGACAACAGGCGGGCCCCGGAAGGTAATCCCAGACAACCCCTCCCCACGAGGCCAATAGATCAGCACCCGAATCCCCCCTGCAGGGACAGGGCAGGTTCCAGGTTCTGGGGGCCCACGTGCTGCCTCCCACGGGTCCTACCAGGAGGTGCGGTTAATTCAGGGACTGGGCAGCGGTGGTGTTTTTAATCCTACTGGTTGGGGGTGGTGTGTTTCTTGATTTTAGAGAGAGAGGGAGGGAGAGAGACATCAGCGTGAGAGAGAAACATCGACTGGCTGCCTCCTGTTCGCGCCCTGATGGGGGGCTGAACCCACAGCCTTTAGTTAGGAGATGGCGACCCTCCTATCTATGGGGCTATTCGGCCAGGGCAAGGGTGTTAATTTCAGCAGAAAAAGTAAAGTTTTTAAAAACTATTATCTGTACTTGTGTCCTACTCTTTATTGCCCTTCACAGGAAACCCGTTGTATTGCGATTTCATTTCCATTGAGGGTGGGGGGAGCACTTACAGTCCTGGGGGTGGTGCTAGTCAGTGAACGGAAGTGGTCTTTGCGTCTGAGGCCAGTTGCACGGGGACCGGGTCGGACCTTCACTGGAGCCCGTGCAGGCACAGGTGACGGTGGCGTCTGAGAGCACAGCTCCCTGCCTGGTTGCCAACTCCTCCCCGGGGCTTGTCTCTGAGGCTCCCGAGGTCACCTTTGACAAAGGTGTTCATGCTCCAGTGTCCTGTTCTTTCCTTCCCTTCCCATCCCCCACCCCTCTCTGGATCAGCTTTGCGGCCTCGTCATTCCCGCGTGGAAGCCTCTCTGTTCAAGGCACATCGGAGCTGCTTCAGAGTTTTCAAAACTTTCGTAATGAACAACCTTGAATTTTAACACAGAGAAATCTTGGGGGTGCACATCCCAATTTTTAAGTTTATCATTTTTTAATGTATTGATCGATTTTTGGAGAGAGAGGGAGAGAAACATCACCCCCTCACGCACTCACTGGCTGGTTCCCGTGTGTGCCGGACCGGAGACCCAACCCGCAGCCCTGGCGCACGGGGCTGCTGCTCCAACCCACCGAAACGCCTGGCCGGGCCCTGATTTTCACATTTAAATTTGCTTATTTTTATATGGAGTGTGTGGTCAGCAAAGACTTTGAAGAGACGACGCTTCCAGTAGAGTGAGTTTGCCATTGTTTGTTATTGGGCAGGAATATGAAACATCGTTCCAAGGTCATGGGAAGGGCATGACCTCGGGCCTCCCAGTGGGCGACCAAAGGGTGAATAAGACTCCTCGCGCCGAGTGTGTTTGTGCACCGAGCCGGCACGGGACGGTCACTTCTTGTCTCCTCCTTTTCAGCACACTCGGCTCGCAGGCCCCCACCGTGCTTTGAAGGTGCGTGTGCGCGGCCTCTGGGCCTCAGGCTCCTGTGCCCCACGACGCAGCCCTTGGCTGCTCGGGTCTGCACCCCCGAGGGCAGGGGTTTGGAGCTGCCAGTGGCCTTTACTCCCCACCACCTCTCAAACCCTGCAGCGGAAGGTCCCTTCCCTGGAGTCGCTTTCCACGGCGGCCGGGACACGCACGGGGGTGTCGCTGGCCGGGGTCTGTGAGCAGTGCTACCTGCTGACGTGGCTGTGGTGCCGCGTATTCTCTACCCAAACCACACGGGTTCCACTTCAAATAGCCAACTTCGGTAATTAGGGGCTTGCTCGGATCGTCAACCAAGAAGCCTCGCAAACGTGGCTTAGCCCCAGATGTGCTGAGCATGCAGGTTGCTGACATCATGTCTCAAATCTGCCCCAAGGCTTGGTCGGCAGGTTCCGGCCTGTGTCCCTCTGGGGTAAACCGTATGTGATCTTGACTCTAGACCGGCCCCGTCTGATCTCGGCTTTATTGACATTTTGGGGTAGGTAGATGTGTTTGTGGGGGGGCAGAGGAAAATGGGAGGTTGTCCTGTCCCGTACAGTTGGGGTTCCCCACCCCGGGCCATGGACTGGCGCTGGTCCACGGCCCGTGAGGAACCGGCTGCCAGCCCAGCTCCCTGAGCTCCGGCTTCCATCCCCCAGCCCCAGCCCCAGCAGGGGGCGAAGGTCCCCTGAGCTCTGCCCCCCATTCCACAGTTAGCCGAGCGAGGAGAAGTTCACCCGAGCCCCATGTCCTCACATTCCCACCCTCCCACCTGGTCTGCCGTGAAACCGGTCTGTGCCGCCAAAGAGGCTGGGCGCTGCCTGTCGGTCGTCGGGCCGGGTCCCTGGCCCGTCTGTGCCCCTCAGTGCCAGGCGGCATCCCGGTCACGGCAGACGAAGAGTCTGCAGTCGTGGACGAGGGTCCCTGGGGAGTGACGTCACCCAGGCCAGTGCCCCGCTGACTGGGGTTACCGAGCCTGGCCGAGCAGGTCAGCGTTTTGTGCTTACCCATGTGTCTTGTTGAAGACGACACCTCGCAGGCAGCTTCCCACGGGACACCGTACATCTCATGGGGCTGCTCCTGCAAAATGCAGATTCCTCGGCCCCACCCCCCCACAGCTCCCGAAGCTCAGAATTGTGTGCTTAGACGGGAGTCCCGAGCAATCCTTGCAGAGACTAAACTTTTCACACTATTGAGGACACGTCAGTGCGCCTGCTCCATGACTCCCTCGCTGCGTCCTGCTACTGCTGGGACGGCAGCTGGGAGCTTGTTCGTGGGCTGTCGCGGGGGCGCGGGGTGCGGGACCCTCATGCCTAACGGCCTGGACCCCCGTGACCGAGGCGGAGTGGCCACCCGCCTCGGCGGGACCCTGTGTTGGTCTCCTGCCGCGGGTGAGGGGGGTCCAGGAAGCCGGCTGCTTCGTCTCGCCGTTGAGCGACGTGGGTGGACAGGAGTGATGCCTCACGTGCCCGCTGTGAGTGAGCTGCCCGGCAAGGCTCCCACCGTCCGCTCGTGCATTTGTCTGTCCCACTGGCACCGCCCGCTGCCCACTGTGCTCTGCAGTGAGCGGGCGCTGGGGCTCTGGGGGCGTCGATTTTGTCCCTGGGGTGGAGGCTGGCAGCGGGGCCAGGACCAATCACACAGACAGAGGTGGCAGGGGTGTGGGCATGGGCGGGCGGTGCCGTGGCCCCGCTGAGGGGACGTGGCTAACGAGGTGGTGGATGGGGCTGGTGCAGCCAACTGGCGTCTGCGTGGTTGGCAGGAGGGGGGAGAGGCAGGAAAGGCGACTTCGGGCGGGACGCAGGGGTGCGAAGGCTGGGCGGGAAGAAGCGCGACCGCCAGCGAGGCTCACGCAGAGTGAGGTGGGGGCTTTTAGGTCAGTTTAAAGATTAAGAAATATTTGTACCCTACAAGTAATGGGAAGCTATTGAAGTATTTTTTAAAACAATTTCATTTATAGTTCAGGAAGTGGAGAAGGGAGGGAGAAAGAGCGGGAAAGAAATGGCAATATGTGAGAGACACATCAATCGCAGGCCCCCCACTGGGGACCTGGCCTGCAACCCAGGCCTGTGCCCTGACTGGGAATTGAACTGGTGACCTTTCGGTTCGCAGGCTGGTGCTCAACCCACTGAGCCACACCAGCCAGAGCTATGGAAAAATGTTTCAGTCTCTGTGTGTGTTTGTGTCTCTGTGTGTTTGGTGAGCAGATCTGCATTTTGTACTCCCTGCGGCTGCGGGAAGCAGGCTGTCGGAGGGGAGGGTCCCTTGATTGGGTCGGAGGCCGTGGGGGCAGATCGGTCGCCTGAACGAGGTTGTGTGGCAGGTTGAACACGGAGCCCCGGAGCTCTCACTCGGAACCCCTGCCACCCGTGACCATGCTCCTCATGTGGACGAAGGGGCTCAGCCAAAGCTGCTGAACCCGTGAGATGGCCCTGGGTGAGGCGGGGGCCGGGCCAGTGGGATCACGAGGGCGTCCTAGGAAGGGCGAAGGGGGGTCCGAGTCATAGCAGGAGCTGTGACGGCAGAAGCAGGAGGTTGGAGTGACGCTGGCAGGCGGCCGCGGGACAGAGCAGGCAGACCACCTCCCCTCGGAGCCTGTGGCCTGACCCAGACGGAGGCTGCCACTACCCCTGTGTCTTTGCTCCCCAGGTACGGCACTGGAGAGCGGAGCTAGTCTCCTAGGTGGGTGGGCAGGTGGGTGGGCAGGTGGGAGAGAAACGCATCCACATGGAGCCTCGTGACTGAACTCTGGCGTCGCTTCAAACTCTGTTCCTTCATTTACACCGTGCAATGCTATTTTTTTGTTTAGTTTGTCTTTCCCCAAATGTGGCTAGTTTTTCGTCCTTATGAGGCGGAGCAGAGAGACGAGAGAGTGCTGTGATGTCAACCACTGCGTGGTCTCTAAGGAGGGACCGCCGCCGAACCGTTCTGTGATTTAAGACGGAAGCTGACTTAACCCCCTGCCACTTACTCTTCAGCTGCCAGTGACGTGAAGAGTTTGGGTCTTAAACGCTGAGTCACGGGGGGCCACCAGCCAGCTCTGCTCCTGGGTGAGCTGGTGGGCAGCACCACCGTGATTAACCAATTAGTGGTTAGGATGCGCGGAGTTCTGCGCTTTTCCCGGCGTCTCGTCTTGCTGCCCCCGGGGTTCAAGGGCGCTGTGACCTCTGTGTGCTCCCAGAAACCCTGACTCCACCGCTGTAACAGGAGGAAGCTCCCCTCGGGGTCTGGAGCCAAATGGGGCGGCTGACACGTAAAACGTGGCCGGTCCGTGTCCTCCTCCCCTTCTCCGGGACCCCGCCCAGCTCCGTGTTCTGGTTCTGGGCCACCTGCCCGCCTTTGCTGTGATTTTGTGAGTTTTTGCCAAGTGCCCATCCCAGGGAATCCCAACGCAGGTGTCTGGGAAAAATTCACTAGGTCTTGCGTGACCCAAATCAGTCTGATCGGTCTTGTCACTTCTTCAGCTCCCACTCGAGAACCACGTCTGTGCAGAGAGGAGTGGCTTTCGCCGCCTGTCCCAGGGCCCACGGTCGCTCTCGGGGCAAAATGATGCTGATTTCCTGCTGTGGTCCGGCCGTCCGAGACCAGCAGGCCTGGCGGGCGCTCTGGGTTCAGTGGTCTAGTGGAAAACACACGGGTTTGGGGGCTTTCCCATTTATTTTTCTGTTTTTATGCCATTATTTTCAACATTTATTATAAAAGCATTTCAGACCAACAAATCCTAGCTGTTTCACAACTGATTTCTAGGATCGTTTACAAAGTCCCTTTTTTTTTACAATGACAAGGTTATAAGTTCAGGCGGCGGTCTAGAAATGGGATGTTAGAGACAAGTCAGGTGAGACCTGCAGTTAGGGTACAACGTTTAACCAGCTTCTAAACCGGGCACCTGTAAGCTGAGGAGAAAGTAGGAGGAGCTCCCCCAGTGAGCCCCATTGCCTTTGTCCTGTGCACGGCCAGAAAGAGGGTTCCTGGCCAGGTCACCCCCACACCTCGGTTCTGAGATGGACTCACTGTATGTCCAGCGCGGACTTGTTGCGTTTCAGCCCAGGGTCACCCTGGAGACTCGGAGGGCCCTGGGCCTGGGCAGTGGTCAGGCCCGCCCACGGCCACCCAGAGCACCTGGGTGCCCGCGTGTCTTTGCAACCCCAGCCTCCGAGTCCCTCCGGTGCTTTCAAGCCAGCGCGGTGCCCTTTCTAGGGAGGGGACACACTTTGTTGGGAGGAATCCCGCCCAGAAGAGCTTCCTTCAGCAGCTGTAAAGAGGTCTCCGGCAAGAGTCAAGCACGTTAATGAGCTTTTGGGTGATGCAAATTGGTGACCAGCAGGATGAGGGCCTGCGCCTCAGGCCACACCCCTCAGCGGGGTATATAAGCTCTGCGGGGAGGCCAGGGACCATCGCACCAAGGACAGACCTCCTCCAGCTCCCTCTCCTGCTCCTGCACTTGCACCTGCTCTCCGGCACCATGCACTGTGGCAGCTTCACCGGGGCCGCCTTCCCAGGCTGCTACTGGGGCAGCTACGGCTACCCCCTGGGCTACAGCGTGGGCTGCGGCTACGGCAGCACCTATGCGCCCGTGGGCTACGGCTGCGGCTACGGCTACGGGGGCTGCGGCGGGGCCCTCAGCTACCGGAGGTACTGGCCCTACGGGCTCTACTGATGGGCTGCACCCCAGGAAGAGGGGAAGACCCACCCTGCTTCGGGCCTCACCTGCTCCCCACCTGCTCTTCACCAGCCCAGTGACTGCGTTTCAGGCCTCGCCCAGGAATGCTGGGGAAGGAAAGGAAAACCACAAGCTGCCTCCTGCCGCCTGCCCTGGGTGACGGCTGTTGTGACACTTTCGGAGACTTGACACCCACACGTGTATCACTTGGGGTGTCCCCGTCCTCACGACCCTTGTCATGATGAAGCAGTGGCTGTGTCTGCCCGGCCCCCAATAAACTTGCCTGAATCAGCATGATCTCCCCACCTGAGTGGCGTTTCCTTTGGGGGGTGCCTGTTGCTCGTGCACTTGAACGGGGGGTGGGGTACGTGGGTTTGAGTTTCTCATGTGGGTGCCAGGAGCCATGAGAAAGCATCTAGTCCTTGACCTTGTGTGATAAGCGGGCAGGGGGCGCTGCCCGTGTTGGAAAGAAGGAGGACTGTCTCGGCCACCCCTGAACCCTGGGACAGCCTCACCCCACCCTTGTGCCCACGGGACAGCGGTCACCGCCGGGAGCCCCTCTGCCCCTTCCCACTCCGCCTCCTCCTCCGGAAACCCCGACAGCCCGGCCTTTTCCGTCGCTTCTGTGTTCGCCCAAACGAAGCCCACTGGGCCCCCGCTCCAGGGACCGCTGACTGTGGAATAAAACACCTCGTCTCCTCTGCAAGGATTCGGAAGCATCGAGCCACGGAGTAGCGACAGCCGTGGGAGGGGTCTGAGAGTCTCCTGGGGATAAGTCCCCTCCACGAAGCCACCGAAGATGTGGTGTGGATGCACCAGGGGGGACGCCATGGCAGAAAGCTTCTTAGGCTTCATAGAATTCATTCCAGGTAGTACGTTTCACGCCTAAAAGATGCAAGCACCTTTCCATAGACCCGGGGGAAAACATGACTATAAGAAAGAAGCGTTCTGGAAGCGACGCCAGCTTTCCTCTGTGTTCCTTAGAGAAGAGACCAACGTTTCTTTCGTGAGCCAAACAGAACACACTGCAGCTCTCCCTTGAGAGCATCTTCTGTGCGGGGCGGGGGGGGGGGTGACCGGCTGGCCGTGGCCTTGGCCGAGCTCTGGTGGAGCACCTGCACTTGGCTCTGCCACACATAGCTGACCTCACAGCTGAAACTGTTTGGCTATTTGGAGAGCTCCTTCTGGAAGGGAGTATTTTCTCCACCATGCTACACCCGATAGTTATCTTCAACAACAACATGGAGCAGAACACCCTGTTCAAGGATCTATTCAGTGGACTCTTTTCAAGCTGAATATTGTAGCCAATGAAAGCCCCAGTTTGAAACTTTCTGGCATGCTAACGTGTGCTGAGAATTGTAAAGTTGTAATTTAGTCAACCATGCAGGCTAGAATAGAACAGGGAAAGACGGATTTTTCAGGACTTGGAGGGTAACATGGAAATTAGAGGGTGACCAAGTCTGCACTTGAAGAGCTCAGGGAGCCTCTAGTCCCGTGTCCCTGAGTTGTGCGCAGGAGGGTCGCCAGACAGCCAGCTTAAGATGTAGATTCTCACGCCTCACTCCCAGGAGTGCCGACTTGGCACGTCCGAGGTGAGCTCCAGAAACCTGAATGCTTGTCCGGCTTAACCGAGGTGCAGCTGGCAAATAAAAATTGTGTGTACGTGAGGTGCACGCCAGTATGATGTGATAGAGCCGATTACCACAGCCAAGCTCGTTAACACTCCCATCACCTCATCCACTCGCGTTCCTTCCAGGTGCATGAAAAGGCGCTGACAGCACTAATCGCCAGGGAGACACAAATCAAAACCACCACGAGCTATGACCTCACACCGGCCGGACTGGCCACTATTGACAGAGACAAGAGGCAGCAAGTACCAGTGAGGGCGTGGGGGGAGGAGAACCCTCACGCATCGCCGGTGGGAACAGTGTACATCTGTGCACCCACTTACAGAAACCCGTGCGGAGGTTTCTCCAAAAAGTAAAACCAGCGCTCTTGTGTGACCCCACAACCCCCCTGGGGGGTGCGTCTAACGGGAGCGAAGTTACTATTGTGGGGAGACACGTGCACCCCAGGATCACCAGGGCCGCTCGGCAGAGCCCAGATGCAGACACGGACCAGGTGTCCCCGGAGGAACGCGTCAGAAAGGTGTGCTACAGATGAAGCAGAATGTTATCAAATGTCGAACTGCTTAAAAATTCAAAAACTATTTCCATTTTAATTTATGATAATTTAAAAATCATTCAGTAACAAGGTATTACTTAAAAAGAAGGAAATCTTCCAGTTAAAGGTGAGATCGCATGGTACTTGTCCCTCACTGCCCGGCTTATTTCATTTAGCACAATTGTGGGGGCGACTTCTTTCGAGAGGTCCCCCTGGTGCCACGGACACGCGTGAATGAGTAAATATGGCTGAGACATGCTGAGACCTGTTTGGGGGAGAGGGAGTGGGCTGTGGCCAGTTTCTCTGGGGAGACAAAGGCCAGCAGCGGCAAGTTTCTCCGAGGACAAAAAGGCCCAGAGCGCCCTATTCCATAGCCTTTTATTGGGTTGTAATACACAGGAATACAGGGCAGCAAGGATCAAACAGTAGATAACATTTCAAAGAGGTCTGAGTCAGTGTCTGTCAGGAAGAAAGTTGCAGAAACTTTGGGAGACATACTCATTTCCTCTCGGACCCTTATCATATGAATGAAAGCACTCTTAGCAGAGCAGATTTCACAGATTTATGAGCAAGTCTTTGTGGTGCCAGATTTTTCCCCAGGGCACGCTCTGGCCAGGCAAGGAGCTGCACCTCTCCCCATCAGGTATTCAGGCTTAAGGGGATTAGAGCCAGGAAGCGCTTCTCCCAGAGAACATGGGGACTTGGGTTATGTCAAAGCTGGGGAGAGTCCATTGCTCTCTGTTGCAGCCCCCTGAGTCCTTCCATGAAGGCCTCCCAGGTGATCGAGTCTGACTTAGGTTGCCCCCCCCTGTGAGGGGTCTTACCCGTCATTGACTTCTGACCAAGCTCTGGGGGCAGGGAGAGGAACTGAGGCAGCGTTTGCTACCAGAGACAGGCTTTGTCTCCTGAGGCTGGCATTCCAGAGGTCGTCTCTCGCCCTTAGCCACAAGGGGTAGAGGTACAATTCCTAAAACTAGGCAGAGCGGTCTACTACGCACAATGCTGTCTAGTTACACCCACGCTGTTGCAAAGGGTAGGGTGGATGAACCAGAAATCTAAAGGTTTACAAGTGCCCCAGGGATCCCAGTGCAAGTGACGGGAGGCACTGTCCAGGCCACCACCGCACACGCACACACATTTTATGTGTGTATTTATGTGTATATTTAGGTGTATTTATGTGTGTATTTAGGTGTATTTATGTATGTAAGTATGCATTTACTTACGGAAGTGTCTGTCTACACTCAGGAAACTGAGTCCCAAGAGGAAAGTTGTTTCCGTCCCCCCAGGGGAAGGCAAAGGGAGGAACACGTCTACACGCCAAGACGACACGCAGCAGGCACCCGGGGCGCGCGTCCGAGCCCGACGCCTGCGCACCCCAGTGCCGGAGCCAGAGGCGCTGCTGCCCGCCTGGCTTTAAGGGAAGCTCGTGTTGCTGGATGATTTTATAAACTCATTTTTCTGTGCAACGCGAAATCGTTCCCCATGACTCGATGCTGTTCCATGGTTTTCCCCTGGGACTCACCCTTGGAAATTCTGACACAAAGATTTTCCCCGGGGTCTGGGGTTTGCGCCTGTGCCTCTCCTGTTTGGAGCGGTCACAGGATCTTTACCCATGGCTTCTCAGTTCCCATCTTTCTCAGCTTCCTCCACCCATTTGCAGTCTAGGAGCAAAGAGATTTATCCATGTCTATGTAGGGTCTCTAAAAATAAAAGCAGAATTAATACGATTTAGGGACAAAGTGAAAAGACAGAGCAGGAGGGGGCGGGATGCACCCTCCAGGGTCAGCTGTGGTCCGTGGGCGGGAGGGACATCGGGGGTTTGGTTCCAACGCAGGGTCAGGCTTGGTGTTGGGAGCTCTGCACGTGGCAGGAGCTCAATAAAAATGAGGGGACTACATGGTTCTCTCAGTAAACACGGGAAGTATGAGAAGCATCCATGGACTAACATCCTGAACTATTCTATAATTCATGGCCGTGTGTGGATTGGAAGCCAGATGTCTGCACATTTTATGACTTAGAGTCATTTCAGAAGGTCACGCGTGAAAAAGAAGTTTTGTTTTCCTTCCTACTTCCTTGTTCATTTATTTCTCCTAGTTACTTGAAAAAAATCTAAGCTATGTAAATTTAAAATTTTCCTGCAAATATAGCCTGTGGAACTAAGAAAGGTGATTTGAATATTAAAAGCCTCTTATCTACAGAGAACGTTTGAGAGAGAGGTAGGGAGGGAGGAAGGGAGGGAGAGATAGGTTTTCTCCCTGTATGTCAGGGGGTTTGGGGTGATTTTCCTGGAGGGAAGGAGGGGCTGGGGGGTCTTCTGAGCACTTTGTTGAGTTGTGAGCCTGTGACCAAGCGTTGCTGGACAGAATCACGTGGTGTGACCTTATTTAAAGCCGAGTGCAATGCCACTTGTACTCTGCCTACGGATGCCTCGTTTCTTCAACATACTTATCTTTGCAAAGGGGGGGGGGGTCTCAAATGCTGCAAGAGTCCTTACAAATTCATTGTCAACATTTCACATCCTGTGTGTCAGCCAGGCACTCTGTCTATCGCAGTGTCCACCACCTGGTCCCAGGCTTCCTGGGCGCGTGGGAAGTCCTCTCCTTTAACATGAGGGGCCCAGTGCCTTCTCTACTCCAACGTACTGACCCATCGGTCATGGCTGACCATGCAAATGCCAATTTGTATTTGCCCATTCGGTATACAGGACAGAGTTAAAAGCCCAAAGACGTTTTCAAGGATAACTTCAAGAGAAAATACACTTTGCGCTGTTAAGCATTTCCCAAGGATTCTCTAAAGGCTGTCTCGAAGGTTTCTGACATCTGCCCTCTGTCACG